CCAAAACAACATGCAAGTTCTATTCACCGTTTCTCCACACATAAAATGACCTCACAAGGCTGAGTTTTTACAGCACAAAGCCGAGATCCGTCCCTCTTCCAGGCCAAGCTGGTGATGGTGTAGAGGTTGGCGATCTCTTTCGACCTGGCCTCGTCCCACACGCCCCTACGAGGCGCCCAGTTGAACACCCGAAGCCTGGACAGGACATGGCACAAGTTGCATAGAAGTCTTCCCATTTCGAAAAGGGAAAAATGACTTGATAAAAATGATCACACTGGTAAGTCCAGTCCAGTAGCGACTCTGCTATGTTTGCCCCGCCCCCCACAACCTGTCGAAGCTGCCCAGTACCACCGACTGGCCGCTGGGACTGCTGGCGGCTACGGTGAACTCTCTCTCGCTGCGGTCGCGGCTGTAGTCGAAGGTCTGAAGGATTTGACCGTCGCGGCTGTAGGCCACCACTTTCTTGTCGCAGCCTCCCACCATCACGCTGTTGGCGCCCCAGGCGAGGGCGTACGGCGGGCACATATGCGTCAAAAGCTTCCCCTGCGGAAGAAATGGAAATTCAAATTTGCATTGAGAAAAATCATGACGACACGTTTTTCCCAAGTGGTACTTAATGTTTTGACTTGTCCTCCTACAAGCAAAAACCTTTAAGCTCACCTGAGATTCACCTGAGCCTTCGTCGTCAAAGAAGTAACGAACAACGTTCCCGTTCGCGTGGCCGCACAAGATGCCTTTCCCAGAAACGCTGAGCAGCAAGACAGCAAAAAATCAAAAACACATATTCATACCGATTTTTCCCAAAAGGATTGTCGGGGGGGTAATAAATAAGAATAAAAGGATTTACTTGGACGCCAACGAGACCACACAGGACTCTGTGCCGTAGATGGGCGACGACTTGTTTGTCTGAACGTTGGCGAGGCGAACCTGTGAAGCCGCACAAACATTCAGAAATAGGATTACTAATCCTGGCCTACGTCTATCATAGAAACTGACAATTTGTGCCCTGTTGTAAAATTCGTGTCAATGTCACTCTTACCTTTCCATCCATTAAACCATAAACGATAGCATGCTCTGCAGGCCAGAGCAGGCGTGTCACGGAACTCTGAAAAACATCATCATTCATAATTAATGATCTCTCTACCATCACCTGCTGTACATACATGCGCATATTGTCCTTAAGAAAAGGAACGAGTAACACAAAAAAAGAAACACAATGGATCTTACTGTCTGGATAAATTTGTTGCAAATGGTTTTCTTGTCCCCCCTGCAAAGCAGAGAATCGTTTAAGTACATGCACAGAAAATTTGACATATTGATGTGATGTATGTTACCAGTCCTCTCCGATCCTGTACACATAAATGATGTTGTCCGACTGGCCTATGGCGATCCTGGTGGAGTCGGGTGAGAACGCCATATCGTTGACCACGTAGCTCTGCTTCCCGTACTGACAAGACAACACCGTTCAGCAGTTAAAAATTCATTTGAGCTGTTTGGTAATGTGAGTTGAAATAGCCAGTGTGTGTATATTCATGTTGACAGAGCAAACAAGAAGGTGGCAACAGGTGATAAAAGGATACCTTGGAGTCGATGGGTTTTGTAGAGAACTTATCCCTCCTCTCACCCTGCTCATCGTAAAGCAGCACCACTCGGTCCACAGTGCAAACAGCAAGTTTGCTGTTATTCGGGGCCCAGGCCATGCAAGTCACTTTGGCCGAGGCCTCCTGGGGAGACAGAAAAAAAATGATATTACGTTTCAGTCAACATGCTATTTAAAAGTTTTGAATGTTTAAACTAGTGTCCTGTTGGCGAAGGAAGGATTTAACATTAACACCAACACTAAATATTAATGTCGGTTTAAGCCTTGGCTCCCAAGGTAATGCAGAGAGTGCAACACCGTTATTTGACAGAACATCTCAAACAAATTCTAATAAGAAAACCAAATTATAATCGTGATAAAACACGAACATGCGTAGAAGTTTTGTAGCAAAAGACTTAATTTTCATCTCGTTCGCCATTTTTAAAGTCAAAAGTCAAGGCACAGTTTAGCATCGTCTAACTTAGCTTCTTACCTGAGGTGTTAAAAGCGTCTTGAGATGTTTCAGCTGCATGTTTAGACGTCGGGCGTAAGCTATCGCAAACCGAAATAGCGTCGATATAAATATATATATATATTTTGTACTTAGTTGCTTTGGGGGACAAGCTTCGGGCTAGCATCTTGCAAAATCGACAATTTGAAGAGCAAACAGCAAGCTCGGGCGTCGGTCCCTGCGATAGGGCAGGCTGACTTCATGGCTGACTTCGCTTCGCGGATTTGGGATGTCCACACCATTTTGCTATGGGAACAGTCGCATTCTTTATGACGTAGTCGCGAACCTTTTGAGAAGGAATGGGATTATGTCGTCATTCTGTTAAAAGAAATCTACTGAAACACTCACCATAGAAGAATGATAAACTATTACTTTAGGTGATATTTATTGTCTTAAATATTCGGTGAAAAACTTACAATAACAGTTTGTCCCATTCGAAAAGATAAACATCCGGGTTCTGTTCCCTGTCGCTGAATGATGACGTTTACAAGAACGCAAATCGGGCTTCTAGAACAGTAAACAAACTGATCTCCTTAGTTACCGTTCGGACGGGGACTTGTTGTACCTTTAAAGCACGGAAATCCAATTCGGATGAGTGTCTTTATCGTATTTAAGATTAAAGTATATGTTGACTTATAGTCTGAATAAAGCGGTCGTTCAATTGTTGATGTTTCTTAACGTGTTAAAAAAAAGAGTGCAGTGGGCCCCAGATCAAATGTTTAAACCAAAATCGATGCATGTGTCCTTTGTTTGTGGTGTTAAATGGTTACTAATAGTATGACGTATGCCAGCAGGACGATCGAGTCTTGATTACACAGTGATCACGGTTTTTTTGTTTTTTTTTTACACAGTGATCACGGTTGAGGGAAGAAAAGGAGTGGAGATGCCGGGGATCGAACCCGGGGCCTCATACATGCAAAGCATGCGCTCTACCACTGAGCTACATCCCCTTACGAACACATAGTGAAAATGCATGATTTTAACAACGATAGATAACTGCGTTAGCGTTTAAAAGGGGGTAAAGACGTCATCATACAATGAGTTGATAATAAATTTGTATGGTTTTCACAGTCGTAACCGCTGGAATGGGACCTGACTTGAGGAAGTGACCACAAACAAAGGGAGGGCCATCATGAAAACTCCACATTGAAAGACCGGAGCGGAGATTGGAAAACTGAACCTAATGATTGCGAGTGAGACATGCTTACACTCGTGCCAAAATAAAGAAGATGAAGCTAAAGGTAGCCATTACACGTATTTTACCTGTCGAAAGGAAGCAAAAGAAAGGCACGACTTAAGCAGCCAGGCAAAGCTTTGATGATGTCACACTTGTGTCATGCATGTTCACTGGACGGCACCGTTCCATTTTGTGCGAGGGATTTGGGCTGTTTCCTGCTATATGTAAACGAATAAGCTATTCTTAAAGGTATACTTTTTTTTTTTACGAGTAAAAGATGCCTCCCAAGAAAGGCAAAGGAGGCAAAGGGGGCAAAAAGGGCAAGGGGCCCAAGACACCCAAAGCACCACCGGAGCCCGAGCCTCCCCCCGAATTGCCAGAGGAGGTGAAAGCCCTGATAAGACAAGTTGAACAGCTCCAAAAAGATGTGGAGACAGAAATGAAGGAGAGGAACAAGTTCCAGCTGGAAGTGGACATGCTCCGCACCTTCTGGGAGGTGACGGGCCAACAGCTGGAGGAGACCAACGCCGAATACGTCAACCTGTACAACGAAATCGAGACGGATGAGCTCAACCACCGACAGGACATCAAAGAGTACTTGGGAGAAATCAAGCTCTACAAGGAGGATCTCAAGAAGCACCAGAAAGATTTTGAAAAGCACGTGCGCAAGGTTGATGACATGGAGGTCAAGCCTTACGAGAAGGAGCGTGCCGAGATGATACTGGACGAACAGCTGGACATCGAGGACACGGTCAGCACGCTGAAGGCCAAGCACAACGAAGAAATGGCCAGGAGAGAACAGGAGATGAACGAGAAGCTCCTGCAGACGGAGCAAAAGTACAGGAAGAAACTGGAGCTCCTCCAGCATGACCTGACCAACAAGGAGAAGACCAAACTGAGCGAGAGGGAGTACTACTGGAGTAGCCTCATCCACAGTCTGCAACAAGATCACGACAAACGCTACAGCGAGTTTGACGCCTTCCTCAATGAGTGCAAGAAGAAGGACCTGCTCCACAAGGACAAGCTTAGGAAACAAATCCAAGTCTTTGTCGCCACGGAGGAGAACAAAAAAGAGCGCGTGGATGGATCGATGGACGTTAAGATGCTGAAACAAGAGCAAAAAAAAGTCCAGGCGCAAATTATCAAAATCCGCAAACTCCTGAGAAACCCCATCATGAAGAAGCACCCCAACGAGACCGTCAAACAGCTGGAGCTGAAGCGCTTGAAGCGCGACTACGACGCGCGCGATCAGAGGGTCAAGCAACTCGAGCGGGACATGGACGAGATGCGCACTAAGTTCCCCGAAAACATCCTGGACATCCAGCAGAGAGCCGAAAAGGAACACGCGGAGCTGAAAGCCAAACTAGCCACACTGACGGAAAAAACCCACAAGCTCCAATCTCTGGTTTGCTTGCGACTCTTCGGTATCGACCTCCTAGCCGCGGGTGGACCCGTGATCCAAGCGGTGGACAACCTGGACTCGAAGGAGCAACACTGGAGCCGGAAAACCAGACTCAACCAAACGGTCACCTGGCAGCTGCAAAACGTGAAGGAGCTTCTTCTAAGAGACGTGGAAACCGCCGTCAAGGAGAGGACGGCTCTGATTAAACTCATCAACGAGAAGATCGACGAGGTATTCCAAGCCAAGACGCAGCTCCAAAAAGTTTCATGGCAGCTTGAAGTGGCAACGCAGTCCGAATCGGGGAAAGGCATACAAGATTCCGCTCCACGGCCTTTGGAGTCGCCGCTCCACCTCCTGGATGACCGGCAGCCAATGGGCGGCTTGATGGGAGAAGTCGTGAGGATCGCGTGCAAGAAACCGCGGGCTAACTCCGAAAACAGGTTAAGTTCCTTGATGTTTGACCCAGTACTGGACAGGCAGCTGAGGAACAGCAAGGAGCTCCTGCAGAGTCACGCGGAGATGGCCACCAAGAGGAGGACGCAGCTCATCCTGATTTTGAACGACAAGACGCACGAGCTGCACGGCCTTCATCGCAAAATCAAAGAGACCAACAAGGAGCTGGAGAAGCAGAAATTAGCCTCCGACCGGAATCTGAGCGTGAAAGGAGCTTTGCTGCAGCGCGCCCAAATGTGACGAGTATTGTGTCCATCTGGTTGTTTTTCCCTAATTAAAAAAAAAACAAACAACCCCCCCCAATAAAACATAATAAAATGAGGAATATATTCGTCTTCCCCTGCACGTTCACATATTAAAGTCCCTAGCAAAAATGTTTTCTAAATTTTGACACGCCCCAGCAAAGAACCCCTAAAACATGCCAATTTCACTGTGGCAAAAAAAAAAAAAAAAACAAATAATATCTACAATTCTTGATTGGTGGCTATTTTGATGAAGGCAACATTAAAACCTGCGCAGTTTATATGCTAGCATAACAAATAGACTGAAAAAAAGAACATTCAAGAGGTGCCACCTACAGGCCAGGAGGTGAAGCACATGCAAATAATGTCTATATTTTTTTAATTTGGTCAAATTGCAGAGCAAACACTTAGATGGTCAGTTTTAATTCGGTCAGCTTATTGTTTCAAAGAAATGTATTTTTTTTCTTTTTTATTATGAAAGAAAAGATGTCCCAACTTTTAGCTGCGGGCTGACCATAAACATGCTAACAGGTTAGCAAAGTGCCACTTGCCAAACTTCCTTTTTCACATAACGCAGAAAAAAAATGTATTTACACTTGAAACACATGAATAAAAACATGTTAGCAAGCCTGTGTTTTTTTTTTTTTTTTACAACAAAAATAAGCATTTTTTTGTGGTTTGCTGATGATGTCATAAATGACCAAAATGTTGGCTGTGACTTTTTTTTTTTCCTTCAATACTGTTTGGAATGAGCAACATTTATACAGTTTAAATGTCTAAAAACTCGTCAAGTTTAAGCTCTGTTTTAGCAGCGGACTTCAAATTGTGCTCTTCGGCAGCGTAGACACAAACATGACTAACAACAACAACAACAACTCTCACACTAATGATCTCGAATGTTGGAAAGGTTTCTTTTCCTTGCGGTTTCCAACATGACAATGGCTCAACTGAAAACTGCTGGTTTGGTTACAAATGGACGATCGTTTTTGCATAGTGACGTTTAACACCATTGCCATTATAATGAGAGATCGTTTTGGGGGTCTAGAATGGAGAAAATTGGTTTGCCACTTCTGAAAGGGGGAGGGATGGAAAAAAAAGGCTTTTCCTCAAGTGTCTGCTGTACTTCTTGTTCAAGGCACAACACGCTCAGGAATGTTCTAGAATGTGGCATTGATTTCAGAATATGGGGGGGGGGGACAATTTCATTCAGGAGTAGATTAAGATTCCTCTGACAAGAAACTGAAAAAACACTGTTCTGTAATGTAAACAGAGCGACGGCAACTAGCTTACTGTAAGCCGTGTCAAAGGTGGAAATGACGAGGGCCTCTTGGAATCGCTTCGATTGAACAGGAAGTCGGCCATCTTGGGCGAATTCCTTCAACTTTGGTAAATTCAAGGGGTGGGGGGGGAAATTGCAGCTTTGTCAATCAAGACCAAATTGGTTGGACCTGTTCTTGAAAGTCTCAAATACCCTGAAATTGATCAGGAAGTTGGCCATTTTGGTTTGAAGCAGCCATTTTGGGTGAATTCATCCAAATTAGGCACGATATCCTGGATGGGTGACCCCAAACTTTTTTTTTGTTGGACACATTCTAATTTTAATTCATTTGCTAGCCCCCCCCCAAAAAAAAATAAAAATAAAATAAAAATAAAAAGCGTGCGTGGGGCCGTTCATCACTACTAGTAGCTCTTAGGTTGTTTTTTTTTTTTTTTTGTGAAATGATTTGGGATGCCGTTGTGATGATAATGTTAATGGCAACAGAGAAAACTGCTGGCACAGAGCAGATCTTATGACTGTCAGTAGGGCTACATGGAGCTCCTGGGAGGAAAGGTTCCGTTCATTTGATTCCGTCCTTTACAGTCCGTTGTAGTGGTTCGGTCCATTTGCTGGTTGATACTTTTGTTTGCAGTGAGTGGCACAAAACAAACAAACAAAATAAGTGTTTGGGAGCAGATTCTGCATGTCTCTACAGAACCGGCGCACATGCATCATGATTTAAAAAAAAAAAACAAGCATGCACGTTAAAACTTTCCCTCAGTCCCTGCTTCATAAAAGAGGTGACGAGGAAAGTGGTCCGTTCCCCTCTGAACGGCGTCGCGTCATTTCCTGCTCATTCCCGGGGGAAAAAAAGCACCGTGTGGAGATGAGATGGAGGAAGAAAGACGCGGGAGGTCCACAGAAGAACAACAAGAAGCAGCTTTCCCTGCAGGAGGGCCGGCAGGTCGGGAATCAGGGGCGGTGGTCCGGTGCGATCTGCATGGGAAGGAAGGGGGCTTGTCAGGAAGGAAAAAGTCGTTCATTACAACTCAGAATCAATAAAGGGGCTATGGAGATAAATCGCATGCTAATCAGGGCTATAATCATTTTGGAATTTTCATTATAGTCCGGTTATATTTTGTTTTGAATTTTGAGAGCATGTTTTTATTTTTTTTCTGAAATGCTTAGCTTAGTTTTTTTATTAGTTTTAGTTTTTTTTTTTTTTTAATGTAAGAGTCCTTACATTTGCCATGCAGAAGATTAAAATGTGATTTTTTTTTTAACCAACACAAGCATAAAAAAAAGATCTCTAAGACAATAAACAATAAAAACATTTAACTGCTTTTGGTCTTCTCAGTTAGGCTTAGAATAAAATAAAGGCGAATATGCAACCCACATTGATGATTTTTTAAAAAATGAATAAGGCTTGTAACATTGTGCAGAAAAAAAGTGAAGCACTGTCAATTTAACAAATTATTATAATAAAACAATATATATATATATATATATATATATATATATATAGACAATAATACTAATAATAATACTAATACTAATAATAATAATAATAATGGTGTAAATGATAGTGTACCTGCTTGCTCTCGTTGATTGTCATCGTCCTGCGGGAGGAAAGCACATTGAGCGCATTTGTTATCAAACGCATGAGGGAAATGCGTTTTCTGAGTTGTTCAAGTGCACACATGCTTCGTTATGTTTCTATTGAATAATTGAAGCACAGCATTCAGTCAAGTCAGTGGAACGAACACAAGGACAAGCTTCTTGAAGGTCGGTGGCGAGCAGGCAATGGATCACACAAAACAAAACGGCGGCTCTTACGAGTCATTTCGACTCGGGCAAGCTCTCGCGGGGCTTCTCTTCCTCCTCCTCTCGATGCTCCGTCGTCGCCTCTGGTTGGGACGAGGGCGACAACCGGGACTTGGATGAGGGCGCCGGCGGGGGCGGCATGGGCAGCGGGATGGGTGCGCTTTTGTCGTCTGGGGTCTGGGCGCCTCCGCTAAACGAGGGCTGGCCTATGATTACCGTGTTGCCTGTTTTTGAAAATCAACGTCGTTAGCATTTTTGGCCACGCGCCGTAGCTCCTCTTCAATAAAATATCGGGGCCACGATGGGGTGCGACATTTCGGCATCTCCAGCGTCAAATCGTCATTACCGTATTGGCCCGAATATACGATGGTGTTTTGTGCATTCAAATGAGACTGAAAAAGTGGGGGGCGTCTTATATTCGGGGTCTAGACATTATACCCATTCACGACGCTAGATGGCGCCAGATATCATTGAAGCGAATGCTGAACTTGACTCCCCAGGCCAAAGCGAACCCCTGTCACGAAGAATAAAAATAAAAATCGCGGTAAGAAAGAAAAGAGACGAAAATAATAGAAGAGAAAACAGAAAATGGAGAAACGTAGAAAAGTGGGTCGAAGATCGGCCAGGTTAACCGGCAGCTGAGGAGAAGTTATGATGTACACTTCGAGATGGTTTTTCTCTCACATATATTGTTATAATCATTTGTTTCAGATGTACTGTAATTATTTTCTGTATAAAAATTAATTTGGTGTTTAAAAAGTATTTTTGCAAACTTGAGTCTTGAAAAAAGAGGGGGTCGTCTTATAATCAGGGCCGTCTTATATTCGGGCCAATATGGTATCTACCATCCTATCTATGTGGCACAACGCTCACCGTTGTCCTGCTCCGCCTTGATCTGCGCCTCCAGGTCCTCGGGATCCACGTACTGGTAGCTGTCGTCCTCGTCCGGCGGCTTGCACTTGCCGCAGCAGAAGCAGCAGCAGCAGCAACAGCAGCAGCAGCTGAACAGCGTGCAGCACAGCACCAGAACCTGCACGCAAACGCCATCAGGTCCTCGGTGACGATCGATCACTCTGATTGGCTGTTATCTCCCAAAATCACCTTTGGGGAGTCTATACATATGCGGGTGAACTCGTGCCCACCTTGAACCACCACTTGGACATGAGGAAGTAGTACTTGACGCTCTCCTCTCCAAACTGCTCGGACACGTACAGTCCCATGGAGCCGTACTGGTCGTAGATCTTCCTCTTGGTGTCATCGTTGAGGATGGAGTTGGCGTTGTTGATCTCCTTAAACTTCTCCGCTGCCTCCGGGTTGTCGGGGTTTTTGTCCGGGTGGTACTTCAGCGCCAACTTTCTGCCGGCAGAGGAAAAGTAAGTTTTCGAGCTAGGGGGGATTTCAGATCAGGGATAGGTAAAGTTTCGGTTTGAAGTCAGGGTTTGGGTGTTAACTCATTCACTCCCAAAGACGTTTTTAAACGTCTTTTCAGACTTGGTCCAGAATTGGCTGGTACTGAATGAGTTAAGAGCCTGCTGAGTCACTATTTAAAGTGCAAAAAAATTTTTGGTGGGGTTTTTTTTTTTTTTGGCTGAAAAAGAAAATATAGTGGAGAATGGGAGTGGGGTGGGCAGTACCAAACTTTGCTCCGGTTGAGTATTACGTCGTCTTAGCCTTTGTGACTTAACATGAGCACTCACCTGTAGGCTTTCTTGATGTCCTCAGCCGAGGCACCTTTCTCCAGTCCTAAAACCTTGTAGACGCTCTCCCCCGCCGTGGACATCTTCCTCTGGGCCCGCGGGGCATGGGGGTTGGCGTGGGCGTGGGGGTTGGGGTTAGCCATGGCTCACATCCACTCTTCGTGACCGCAACAACACAAATGTATTTATTGGAAATCCACTGATATATGTGCACTGCTTACACGAACAACATGACTGCCAAAAGAGAGGCGCTACAGTGGACGCCTGCATTTTTTTTCTTCCTCAAATGCATTAGTAATGCGTTATATGTGGAGTTTCACAAGCGTGAATTCTTTATCTATCGCGAAGAGCAACTGACATTGCTGCTGGACGGATTCGACCGCTCATTTCCATCCTCAAGGCACGGATTGTTTTGTGTATATCAAGAAAGGAGCCCAGGGGAAAGCAAATATGGCGTCAGTCGCCAAAGACTTGTTGCCCATTTAGTTCTACATCATTACAAATGATATCCAGTTCCAATAGTTACGAGAGCAAAATTTTTTGAAATTTGCGGCACTGATACAGCTCTTGTATTATTGGTCGTTAGAGCATGTACCTAATGAAGTAGCCACCGAGTGTATCTCTCGCACGCACGCACGCGCGCGCGCACACACACACACACACACACACGTCATTAAGATAAGAAGATTACTTTTTGCTGACCTCTCACTTAATGAGCAGGTGCATCAGCGTCTGGTCACAAGGTCACAAAGAAACACACACAGACACACACACAAACACACACAAAAACAAAAACAAACAAACCAAAAAAAAAAAAGATGTCATTCAGCCAGAAGTGTGGCGCGGGAATCCCTGGGCCGCTTTGGTTCAACTGACTGCCCTCTTAAAGCGTATCAGTCATGAAAAGCTGAACTGAGAGAGAGACACAGATCAAGAAGGCTGTTGTTTTAATCAACCCTGTCACACACGCACGCACGCACGCACGCACGCACACACAACCAGATGGTTGCGCTCACGGGCACCCACTCCTAATTTAACATCATTAATGTGCTCTTACTACTACTATGCTATGCACCAATTAATCAGACAGATGACAGGGAGTGGTGCATTTGTCTGTGGTTGTTTTGAGTCTTTTGAACATTTGAGCAGCTAAATTTAGCTTATTTTGAAAAGCAGCAAAAAAAAAAAAAAAAAAAGATATCCAAAGAAATATTTTTAGAAATTAACATCAAAAACCTCCACTCTTAACAAAATAGTAAGACGTTCCGTTAGAGATGCAGAGTCACCGTAACAGCCCAAAACGATATGTATAAATGTTGAAAGGCTTAATATCTGCTGGTTTATTAATCAGTTGGGCTCTTGTCATTGAGTCACATTTTGAAAAAATTTCGACCCAGGCTTTTGGTGCTTCTAAGATGCAAATATTTTTAAGGGGTCGCCATGCTTCACCTGCACAAAGCTTAAAAAAAATAAAATGGTCCAATTTACGACTTGAGTCTCAAAATCCTTCGTAAATCTGGTGACTTGTATTGCTGAGCTCATACAAGCGTACTGTTCCCAAGATTTTTGGCTCGCTTGTGCAGACAAACAAGGTGATTAAGCGCCAAGTTGAGTGGCTTTCATAATTAGGTGCTGCTGATGCTGATGATTGGCAGGTCGACGAGGCGGGGGACGGTGCAGTCTGAATGCGAGGTTACAAAACCTCAAGGCTCGCCCGATTAATTAGCGCGTTGTGATAATTTTGAATCCATTATAAGCACGAATGGCTAACCTTAAAGATTACATCGAGGGGTAAACTGTACGTTTCGGTCTGCCTCGACTAATGGGTTGGAAATAACTGTGGCTGACAGATTTCACGCTGGTCATTTTCGCCCATGTCCTTGCCTGGCTAGACCTAATCCTCCGGCTAATGTTAATCTCCCGGCACGTTGACAATTAACTACTTTCTATTATTCCCCTTGAAGACAAATCACTGTCAGTGAGAACTTAAATGCAGTATGATAGATTAAATAAGCATTCGGGTCCTCGATGGTACCACCAACTACTTTTGTGGTACAGATGGTACCACCAAACCGGTTTAGAATCGTTCACAATTAAAAATTCACTCAACTAAAGTGTGCGGTAAAATCGCCAGGAAGTATTGATATTCAAATGTGTTTAAACTAAAATGTATCATCTTAAATTCGGCAGATATTTCAACGTTAGGCGCCTTTACATCGTTTCTTCTCACCAGTGGCATTAAAGTGTCTACATGGATGTTCAACAATAACTCAAAAGAAAATAAAATAATCGCCGCTTTATTTGTACAAGACCGTTTGAAGCGCAAATGGAACTTGAACCGTCAGGAATTTTTTTTTTTTTTAGATTTTTTTGAATGGAAAAGGCCTCTCCTCGACCGGTTAGCATCATGCTAACTAGTGTGTTTGGGTGTGCGTGTGTTACCTGATGTTAACTGTGCGCGGTGTGTCTCGCCAGGATGCTAACTGGATCATCTGGTTTAGTGTCCGGACACCCAGTCATGGGCTCGGTGCCGCGCGGGGAAGGTCGGCCGGGATCGAGTGTTCATACGGCGGCACCGTTAACCGAACCGAGTCGGTGAAATGACAGCTCGCTCTCAAAATCTTTCCAGGGAATGACGTGGTGACGCGTTCAATGTCACAACGGAAAAGTTCGTCACCTGACACTCGTCGCATTTGCTGGAGTTCAAAAATGAGCGAAAAATAAGACAGGTGGAGATTAGAATTAACTCAAATGTCATTTATAGGAGTGTATTATCAAATTAAAATTATTTTTCCATGATAAAATAAATTAACTAGAATTAGGGATAGTTGCCACCTCGCCCGCTACCCTCATGACAAATGCTCAACAAAATGAATGCTAAAAAAAAATAATAATAATAATAATAATAATAAATCTTGGGGTAATTTGTCACTAAACCGAGAGATTTACCTGTGAATTCGTGTGCCTTTAAGGGGCGTGGCTTATCATTTGACATCAGGATCCTGGATTCTGTCCTGCTGGCCATTTACCTTGTGGTTAGTGCCTTCCGACTGCTCCTTGTGCTTGCATTTCGTGTTTGTCTGACATAGTCCTGCTCAATCTATGCCTACAAGTGATTGCATTAAAAATCCTGTACAGTGTTGATTATTTTGGTTACAATAAAAAAACAGTCACAAAATGTTAATATCATTTAGCGTGAAGATGCCTGATTTGAATGACTGTCCATTCCCATAATCACCAAGCAGCAAAGACAATCTTCATGTCACTTAACACATTTTTAAGTGTCAGATTCAACAATAATATAAATTGCGATACGATTACTATCATTTCATTTATTTTTGCACGATACAAAAACAGTCTCCAACACTGCAGTGACAAATCCTCGATACTAACCTTTGCCTCTGGTCTGTCACAATGATACATATAATTGACAGTAAAACCCCCAAATCATCTAAAAACGCCACTTAAAGATTGTGGGATAATGTAATGTTACACATTTAAATGAGATGAGATATATCACAGAAGGGGAGGAAAAAAATGATTTTGGCCAAATCCAGCAGCAAAGTCTTGTTGATCAAAGCAGCATTCTTCCCCCCCGAGGGGGCTCTTTAAAAGACAAAGACTGGTCCCAAAATAACTGATGGCAGGAATGACTGTGAAGAAGAGAGCAGTGTGACATTTGTTCATGTTACTACAAAAAAAAAAAAAAAATTATCATCTAAACTACTTACCGTGGTGCCAGTCTATCGTCCAAGTACGGTGGCCAGCAGGGCCATTCGGATGTACATGCCGTTCTCGGCCTGGCGGAAGTAGGCGGCCCTCGGGTCAGTGTCTACTTCGGCGCTGAAACGACCACAAAAAGTCCGGTTGCATTCTGCACTGACTTGCATTTCATTGAAATTACAGGATGACTCAAGTATGTATCCAGCGTTCAGCAACATGTCAACAATTGGCAACGCAGAGGATTAACGTACAGATGTTACGTTACAGAGCGTAGAATACTCCATTTCAAAATGATTAGAGAGCTAATGTGATTGACGCGAAACATGATCAGTTCGGAATCAATCAAAACCTGATTTCGTTGACTCGGGGCATCGGATGCATGACGACCATCTTCTTCTTGGCTGCGGTCATGATGTGAGGGCTGAGGATGAACTGTCCGAAACACTGGGGGCATATTATTGTGTCCGCATAATTATAAACAACACCGAATTAATTAAAAAATAATAACAAATTGATTGAACTAAACAAGTGAATGAAATTGAAAAGTGTTGTCGTACGGCCTTGTACTCCTCTTCGGATGCGAACCTCTCCTTCTGAATCCTGGTCATGTAGAGGACATCGGTCTCGGGCAGAGCTTCTTCGATGCTCTCAAACTCCTCCTGCGAGCGACATCATCGCCCCGTTGAGTGGTCCGTTCCCATGACGTTCGGCGGCAAATCTAAATGCAAACCGACCTGTTTGATGCCCTTCGAGGCCACGTAATCGATGATCTCGGCGGGCATGTGGAGGTTCTTGGGGGCCACGTAGCGCAGCGTGATGCGGTACTGGGTCAGCAGCTTGGCCAGCGAGTGGACAGTGCGGCCGTGTTTCAGATCGCCGACCATGGTGATCTGGGTTCCGTGTCAAACACAAACGTTAACCGCCCTCTTCCTCTTGTATGCCGGGTACTCCAGGAGGGCGGCGGCGATGCTCACCGTCATGCCGTTGACTGTGCCCAGCTCCTCCCGGATGGTGAAGACGTCCAGAAGAGCCTGCGTGGGGTGCTCGCCTACGCCGTCGCCTGCGTTGATCACCGGCTTGCGGCAATGGCGGGACACGCTCTGAATGACGTCGCAGCAAGAAGAGCACATTGAAATTTGAACCGGTTTAAAAGTTGAGTAAAAACAATGAAGAAAGAGAAGCTGAAATTTGAGCTAAACCGATTTTTTTTTCTCCAATTGACAATTATATCGAATTGCTATTGCCGTACCTCCACAGCGCCAGGCGTAGGGTGTCGCAGTACCAGAACGTCGGCGTAGCAGCTCATGGTCTGCACCGAGTCAGCCAGCGACTCGCCCTTCTGCGTGGACGAGGTGGTCTCACAAAAGTGGACCACCGAGCCGCCCAGACGCTGCATGGCCGCCGCGAAAGAGCTGCTGGTGCGGGTGCTCACCTCGTAGAATATGGACGCCATCACTTTGCCCTGCGGGAAGTCGGCACGACAAACCATCAACTAACAAGCGCGCCCAGAAAATTTCGGATCAAACTATAGTGGAACCTGGATGGATTTTTCTAATAAATTTTAACAACTTGTTTACGTTGGGTGTAATTCCACTGTAAACCACTAAATGGCAGTATACTTATTTAGCTTGAGGTGGTGCAAATCTGAAAGAACAAAGGAGGAAGTATTTCGTAGAGAAGGGGGTGATCACTGGACCTACCTTGAGTATATCCAGACTCCGTTCCTTCTGAACCATCAAACGTAACGTGTGTGCAATGTTGAACAGGTGAGACATCTGAAATGGACGACAAACATTGCAAAATGTTATTCTCAAGTTTCATGTATCTTCAAAGTGCCGACGTGTCAATTTTGCCTCCCGGGGCCTACCTGCTCTTTGCTGAACTGTCTGACGGACAGGACGTGTTGGCCCACCAGGGGCTGCAGCAGAGGGGACATGTGGGCGTGAGGCGGCTGGCCGGCGGGGGTCTGGCCCGGCCCGGGTTGGGGGGACAGCAGCCTGGACAGCGGAGGCGGGTGGCTGTAGCTTTCGGCCACGCCCGAGGGCGGCGGCATGACAATCTCTGCACATTTATGCAAATTATAACGACAGGCATCCTTTACGTTGAATATGTTAAAAAAATAAAAATATTTTTTTAAAGTGTTCCCCTGCTATTTCACTGTTCATCTCAGTTTTGTAAGAATAGAAACACTTTTGAGGATTGTTGCATGCTGTTTGTTTGTGTTGCTGATCCGTGTGTCAAAGTAGTTGTTCTTAAAGGTTTATAATTACCTTCACATCTATGCTACTTTCTGTTAGCCTGTCTATGGTGCTTTGCATTATATGTTAGCATTAAGCTAGCAAACTTGTTTTTGGCTGAAATTATAGTATTTAGTTTTATAATATGAAGTAAAAATGCACTTTTAAAAAAATTAGTTTTATATTAAATTTCAACTTCAAAAAATACATGGGAAGAAGACCCGGAAAGTAAATCACCCCATTTTAAAATTACAATTGCAGTATTATGAAAAAAAAAATGCAATTAGACTAAGTTTCAAAATCTTTGAAAGCCTACCTGGCGGCATTCCCGGGTCGGAAGAGCGATGGACACGCGCGGGCAGCAGGTAGCGACTCTCTCCGGCCGAACGTCGAGGGCTGGCGGCTCGAGTTCGCACCAGACCGTCGCGAGGAGGGGTCGGGCGAGGTCGCTCGGGGGTCTAATGTAGGCAAACGACACCTCACATCAGTCGTGCACACCACTCTACGCACAGTATGTACTGAATTTCTACTCCTTACCATTGGGCTTTCCGGGGAAAGGACCGCGGCCACTGGCCAGGTCTTCACGTCTTCACCGTAACCTGGGGGCACTAACACCTGACAAATACATATATGTATGATTATTAATTTTGTAGAGCCACAAACTACAGATTTTGGGGTTCGGGAACATTTGTGTGAGAGGCGCCGAGATAGAAAACAAAACATCGATCTTTACCTGTCCATCAATGTAGGCCACCTCCCCTCGCAGGACCACACGGCGAACTTTACCCTTCACCTTCATGCCTTGGAACGGCGTCCACTTGGACTTGGTGAACTGCATGGCCTGTGGAATCACCCACTCCTGCTCCAAGTCCACCTGGTCGGCAGAAGAACAACAAACAGGAAACCAAAACGTATGTTCATCACATTTTAAGACTATTTAGTGAGCCTTTTAACTGTTCATATATACCTCCACATAAGTGTTTTCCTGCACGGGCAGGTTAAAGATGCGGCGCGGGTTGTCGTGGAGACGGCGGATGATGTCGTCCAAAGTCAGACGCCCGTCGCTGACGGCGGTGAGCAGAAGCGGCAGCATGGTCTCCAGGCCGGGGTAGCCAGGAGGAGGATGCTCGCTGTTTTTCTCTTCGACAGAGTGAGGAGCTGAAAAAAAAAGAGAGAGAGAAAATCTTCATACTTCTGCCAATTCTGATTTTATCGATTTTTCTATCGTGAGGCAGTTCCTGACCGTGGTCTGTGGCGAAGCAGTCGATAATGTCCAGGTTCTCCCACAGCGCATCCATGTCCTCCCGGGAGCCCAGCATGGGTCGCACCTGCGCTCGCCCATCGCCGATCTCCGCCACGTTGTTGTCGCACAGGAACAGGTGATGCGGTGCCACCTCGCACGTCACCTGGATGCCCTTCTGCTTGGCGGCCCGGATGATCAGGATCTGAGTGTAAATGGGGGGAGGGGAAAAAAAAGCAGCACCAGAAGATCAATTTTATTTTCTCTCTTATATTTTCGTTTCTCACTCAGGAAGATTTTTTTGTTCATCGCTTGTGGCTTCTTACTAAAGTACTTCTGGTTCTTTGCCCATGAAAAGGAAAGCATATTCTTACCTCCTCCTTCTTAGCCACGTGGCAGATGTGCACCGGTCGCTGGTAGAGCTGAGCCACCATCAAGATGGCGGCCACTGTCTGCTTC